CCGCTGCGGCGCGCGGCTGCTGCCCGCCCGCCGCCGGCCCCGCGCATGCGGCTGCGCCTCGGCGCCGCTGCCCCTGGCCTCGTCCCACCCCCTGAGCATGCGCACCTGGCCCGCAGGAAGTTGCCCTGCCGCATCTCCAGCATCCCCCACTTGTGCCACGCCGCCGCGTGCGTCTCGTCCACCACGATCGCGGCGTCAAACAGCTTCCGCGCGCGAGACACGTTGCCGGTGCGGTACTCCAGGTAGCCCCATGACGCCCAGATGTAGGGGTTGGTGTTGCCTGGCGGTACGGTCGCAGTACGGTTGTGGTTTGAGGGAAGGCCGTGCGGGGCGGGGACTGGTGGTCGCTGCCGCCGCTGAGGGCCGCCCAGGCTCGCGCGGCGTCCGGGCTCTGGGCCGCGGGGCGCACCGCGCCGCACGGGCCCGGCCTCTGGTGCACCCGCGCGAGGCGCCTCGCGCGCACGGCCCGCGCAGCGCCACGCGCATGCGTGCGTGTCCCTTGTCACGCACCTGTATTGGCTGTGCCGTCCGCGTAGAGTTTCCGCGCCTCGTCGAAGCGTTTCTGCTGCAGCAAGATCTTTCCCAGGCTGACGTATGCGCGGGGGTCAGTGGGGTCCGACTCCAAGCAGCGCCGCAGGCCGGCCTCGGAATCGCGCAGCAGGCGCCGCCGCTCGCTGCCGTCCTGCGCCAGGTTCGCCATCATGCGTGACAGGCGCGCGCGGTACTGCAGGGCGCAGGGGCGGGAGGGGCCGCGGCGGGGGGTGCGGCGCATGCAAAGTCAGGAGGGGTGGCGTTGGAGCTCCGGCCCGCGACGTGATTTGTGGAAACCAACGATTCTGTGCGGTCCGTCCACTTGCGGGGGCAGCACGCATAAGTGGGTGCCACATCTTGGCACAAAAAGTGTCTGGTGGCATGCATGCACTCGATCCCAGCGGCCGGCGGCTCACCAGGCGAAGGTCCGTGTTGATTTTCAACGGCTGTGCGGGGGCACGTGGCGGGGGCGGCGGCGCGTCGTCCAGCGGGTCGTCGGCCGTGTCCTCCATGCTTCCCCACGTTCTCCGAACGACAACCCGCTGCTCTGGAGCCTGTAGCTCCACCTGAGCGCGCAGTCCCAGGCTCAGGGCCGCATCAGAGGCAGAGAGGCACTTGACGTCCCGCGACCTCCGCTGCACGCGCTGCCGTCGTCCATTGCTGCTCCCGCCAAGCAGGCATGACGGCAGCCTGTGACTGCTTTGAAGAAACCCATTGCACCCCTGGCCAGCAAAGCCTCGGCAGGCGTGGTCCATCTGTCGCACGCCTAGATCCGCGTCCAGCGGCGTCGCAAGTGCATCTATAAATTACCAAATTCAGATGCTTCTGCTTGCACGGCTCTGGCGCGCCCAGATCGTCCGGTGACTGGTGAGACTTGCTGGCGACACACTTTGAGGACACACAATCTGTACTGTAGACCTGGATTTTCTCGCGGCATCGTGTACGGACATAGATGCGCCCTTGCGCATTTTGACTCCAGAACTCCTCGACAGCAGTGCCCTCCCTCTAGCCGATGAGTCTAGGGCCTGGGAGGCTTGCTTGCGCCCTGCACAAATGAGTGCGTCTGGTGAGGCGTATCAAATTCGTAGGCAGCATGTGCAATATGAGAGTGCAGCGTGCTATGTCACGTCGCTTGTGGCCTTGGTCAACGCTGTCCCGCCTCAGCGCCGAGACTGCTGCTCGTCAAGGGTGGGATTGCAATCAATGTGCCCGTGGGAGATGCGCCTGGCAGACTCTTAGTGATGACACCAAAACCATACTTACAAGCTGAAGAGTCCATCCACCTTACAGATCATACAGAACAGTGCTCATACAGCACAGTGCTCAGTCGCCCAAGAGGGAGGCCTGGCATGCGGAGGCATGTCGCCTTGCGAACAGCAACGGCTGCAGTACGCCACCTATCCACCACCAACATCAGCAGGCGGGCCTGCAGTGAGCAGCGCCGCGTGCGGGAAACCATCACGCTGACTCGCAGGGGCTTGATAGGCCCCGATGCAGCACACACAGCTCAAGATCCACAGCGCCCACCACGCATCACTCCAGCGGGCAATCAGCAGCAGGCAAGTTCAGTTCAACCGGCGAGGTGTCAAAAAACTATGCACATGAGGTAAATAAACTGACTATCTGACCTGAACAAAAATGGCTGGCTGACAACCTGGACGAAACACACGTAGTGATACAAACCCTCCGTCTGGTCAGGTGAGATTAGACAGCACAGGAGCACGCCGCTGCACCGCAGCCCCCACCCGTGGCGGCGCGGCCGCGGCCCTGGCGGGCGTGGTCGCCCTCACCGTCCACGTCCCCCCCGCCACCGCCCGCCGCCGAACCGCAGGCGCTGCTGCTGCCGCCGCTGCTGCGGTGGATGCGCCCGTTGCCGGGCGGCGGCCGCGCCTCGTCGCTGGCAGCTTGGCTGGTTTGGGGGTCTTGCGCCGACCCATGGTCAGAATCCGACTCTCGCGGGTGCTCCACCGTTTGCTGCGGCCACTCGGCTTGGCCAGCAAGCGGCTGCGGCGAAGGCGGCTGCTGTGGCTCTGAGAGCGCGCGGTGCTCTTCGCGCCACTGCTCGTTGCCGTTGCCTCGACGGTCACCGGCATGGTCAGCTCGCTGCAGCCGCTGCTGCGGCTGCAAGCACGGGCGCACCTCAGCCTGGCCCTGCTGCTGCCCCGCTCCCCCGCCGTCGCCGTGCTGCTGCTGCTGCACATCCTCACCTTGCATCACCGTGGCCCCTGCCCCTGTTTCTCCTCCAAAATCTCTCTCCTGCTCATGCCGCGCCTCTGCTCGCCCGCCGACCGCCGCCTCTAGCTGCAAGGCATCAGCGCCGGCGGCTACACTATTGCAGGCCGCGTCGTCGCCCGCAGTGCCGTCGCCCGCAGCGCCGTCGCCCGCAGCGCCGTCGCCCGAGGCGCCGTCACCCGCGGCCCCCTCGGCCGGTGTGCGCGTGCGCTTTTGGCGCCGCAGGTCCTGCGTTTTGTCGCGCAGCCAGGGCTCCATCAGCACGCGCAGCGTCAGGTTGGGGCTGAGGTGGCGGCGCCGCAGCGGCGCGTGCGTGACGGGGTCGAAGCGGCTGGTCTCCAGCCACTGCACGATGGCGGTGCGCTCGTAGGTGATGCCGCTTGTCGCCTGCGTCGGCTCCCGCATGAGCGCCAGCGTGATGGGGCACCTGCGGCGCGACGGGAGAGCGAGGGCCAACAGGTCAAGCGACGCGGGGTGGCGCAAGCTGGCGGCGCGGAACCAGCCCCCTGGCACTGCCAGGTTGGCCGCCTGGGCGCGCGTACGGCTGTGAGTGCAGCGAGGCGCCGAGGACCTTGCCGGGGCACACATGGCCCCGCCCCGCCCACCCTTCATCATCTGAGCCATGCTCGCCTGAAGGCCTCTGGCGCATCCAACACGTCATCCAGGTCCCGAGGGATGAACAGCGGCGGCGGCCAGTGCACGGGCCGGCTGGTCGGCGCCGCCGCCGCTGCCGCGCCCCCGTTGCCTCCGCCGCCGTGCCCGTCCGCGCCCTCCCGCCACCCGCCGCCGGGCGTCTGCCCGTGCCACCCTGCCCCCTGCGCGAGCGCCTGTTGCGACGCCGCCGCCCCGGCCTCCTCGCCGGCCGCACCCGCGCCGCTGCTGCCGCCGCCGCCGCCGCGGCCGCCGCCCGCCGCCGCTCCTGCCTGCTGCGCAAGGGCTGCCAGCTGCTGCCTGTGGTGGTGCCGCCGCCGCCGCCGCCGCTCCAGGCCGCCGCGGTCTCCGCCGCCGCCGGCGCCGCCGTCCGGCAGCCACGACGAGTACACCGCCCACAGGTTGAGCAGCGGCACGACCAGGCAGCGCAGCCAGAAGAGCGCGACCAGCAGCGCGCGCGGCATGAGCGGCGCAAACATCGCCTGGAGGGCGGCGAGCACGAGGTGTACGGCCGCGGGAACCGCGTGGGACACGACAAGCTTGTCGAGCTGCTCGGCGGAGCTCAGGTCTGTGAAGCCCGCGACATACAACGCGTATAGCTCGGCGGCCAGCCTGAGGAAGCCTGTGGGGGTGAGGACGGAGAGGGCAGCAGGGCGAGAAGGGTGCCGGACGCGTCGGACGCGTCAAGCCGGGCGGATGACACTTGGAAGTTGCGCGGTATGCTGCTCCGCCCCAAGATCAGCGTGGGTGACGAATAGAGTGTGCCCACTGCGGATGGCGAGATCAACACAAGCACACTGCCGGGCCGAGCACATTGCCACCTGCAGCGCCCATCGTCGGCCTGTCGGGCCTGGGCCAAGCGCGCCGCTCACCTAGCCAGGCGACGTGCACGACGAACCACGGCTCGTGGCTCGACGTCTCCACGACCTGCAGCGCCACCAGCACACCCGGCGCCACCAGCCAGCCCAACCAGAAGCGCAGCCAGTCCCAGTCCGTGCCGCCGAAAGGTGGCGACACCAGCCGGGCCACGGCGCCGGCCGTGCGCTGCTGGGGTTGGCCGCCCGCGCTAGCAGGGGCCTCTGGTGGATTGCTGGGGTGCGGCCCAGCGCTACCCGCGCCCGCAGCAGACGCGGGCGCCACGCCGGGCTGCTGCTTGCCGTTGGTTTGGGGGTTCCCAGAGGCCGCGAGGCGCTGCACCGCCTGTTGGGTGAGGGCCAGGAACAGGAAACGATCCCAGGGCAAGTTGGACGGAGGCGTGAAGCACGGTACCCCACGTGCCGGCCAACTGCATCCGAGTGGCAGCGATGCACGGCGCGCGTCCGGCAAGGCAGGGAGGCTTCGTCGGCCCAAGGATCCCACCTTGAGCATGAGAACCTCGGCGCGAACGGCGCGCCATCCGCGATGGACGTCTGGCCGTGCCCCAGGTTCGTCGCCAACAGCCTCGGCGGCGCCGCCGCTGCGGCCCGGGCGCTCACCAGCCGCTGCGCCCCCCACCAGCACGCCGCGCCACTCTCCCGTCAGCCACTGCCACAGCAGCGTCAGCCGTGGCATGCACAGGAGGTTGCTGAGGTAGATGCCCCCGGCGCTGGGGTGCTCGTTGGCCAGCAGCGCTATGCTGGGCCGCCTCTCCGGCTGGACAGGCTGCTGCCCCTGCTCCTCTGCATGCTGCTGCTCCTGCTGCTGCTGCCCTTGCTGCTGTGGCTGCTCCGCAGACGGCGGCTGTGCAGGCTGCTGACCTTGGTCCCACTGCTCCTGCTCCTGACCTTCATGCAGCGGCCGCAATCGAGCCTGCGACGCGCACTGTTGATCGTCGGGGAGCGCCACGGCCTGCGGCTCATCAGCTGCCAAGCCCTTGTGCAAAGAAACAGATATGTTCCAATCCAGCCAGTCGCCTGCAGGCCAGCACGATTCCATGGGGGTTTGTCAACGTGGGAGCAGCCACCATGCCCCGAATCCAAGGGAAGCTTGGTGCTCGCGCTCAACACGAATGCAACTGACATTTGCGGCGCCTGCGCACCGTGCTTCCTGAGGGGCCCGAGCAAGGACCTTGCGGCGAGCGTGCCTCGGCAGTACTCTGTCCCGGCGACGCGCTGCAGACCCGCCGGGAAAGCCAGACCGTGCCGCTGCTGCAGCTGTTGTGCGACCGCTTGGCAGGACGGCGCTGCTGTCCCCACAGTGGTCTCGGCCTCTGCTGCCGCAGACGTAGCCGCCATCGTTGAGGCCGTGGCCGCTGACGCCGAGCCGCACGGGCGGCCGCATGCCAGCAGCAGCAGGGCGAGCAGCATTGCCATACTGGCGTGCGATGCCAGGGACCTGCTCAAGCAGCAGCGTCCCAGCGGCGACGGCGTCACCAGCGACGCGGGCGCACCCAGGCCGCCCATCATGCCTACAGCTGCATCCTATGCCACGCCACGAACCAGGAAGACGCCTGCTTGGGGTGGCGCGCCTGCCACGGTGTGCACACAGTAGTTTCGAGGGACCGCACTGCTCCGGAGGACGAGCTGTCGAGAGCACACCCCTTCAACGGAGTCAAAATAGGTACAACGAGAGCAGCCTGACAGACGGCGCACGAAGCGTCCCGTCAATCGGTGCAGCGAGCGGGTGTGGCCAACAGCAAGGACTCTCACAACGATGAACGGACAACACGAACGAAACGATCACAATTTTAATGTTATGATATCCGGACGTTTGAAACCAAATTGACATTTGAAAGATCAAATCGCGATCTGCAACGCAATATACAATAACGCCAGCCGTCCCATTGCGTGATAACTCTAAAGTTTCGATCATATCAACTAGATCGTACAAGAGTGATCGTCCAGTGAGGCAGCGCCCGCCAACCCAACGCCACCGAGGCCACCTGCGGCACAGCCCGCGAGCCGGTCGCGGCCAAGTACTCGGGTCGTGCGCCGGCCTCGACTTCATGCAGGAGTCCTCATGCAGATGGAAGCGCTCATAGCGACAGGTGTGGCGGCGCTGCCGCCTCTTCTGAAGGCCTACTGGATCCTGGCCGCGGGCTCAGTGTTTGCGACACTCCTGCCAGTGCCCCTGCCCCAAGGGTTCAAGTGAGCGGTCCGCAGCGCGCCTAGCCTGGTGTACTTTTAGAAAAGCTCTCAGCTGTTGTGCACCAAGCACGGGGTGCAGCTGCTTGGGCATGGCGTTTTTGTTCGTCCAGCGCAGCCGGGCAGCGACCACCCTGCTGCCCTGCCTGTCTGCCCCCGTCGACGATCGCCGCTTTGCAGGGACGCCGTGACATTGGCGGCATGTCGTGGGAAGCTGTGGCAAACCAAGCCTGCGGCCCTTGGCTTTCTCAAGGTACGCGCTGCTCATGCGCACTGGTCGCCGCCGGCCCCCTCCCTGCTCGCCACAACCTTGAATGTCGTGCGCCGGCGGCGGCCCACTTGGGGTGTGCGAGTTCACCTCTAAGATCTTTTTTTACACCCTTTTTTCCACCCTCCGGAAACACACGCCGCCTGCTTCTTATGGTGACCAGGACTGGGCAGTCCCTCAGGCCTGGTTTCTGCACTTCTACATTGTGGGGGCGGCCTGCAATGCGGCTGCGCTTGCAGCATTCTCCTGCAGCTGCTGCGGCGCCAGTACTGGGGCCTTGCCGCCGCTGGATCAGGCGCGCAGAGGGGGGCGTAATTTCTCGGGCAAGCAACCAATATAATGTCGTGACTAAGTTTGAGACCAATGCAGCTGATCGCGATTGCGGGAACCTGTGCCATTCAGGTTATGCACCTGCTGATTGCATGCAGGTCAACCGTTAGGTCGAGGTGTTGTGCCTCCTTGACACGCACACCCAGATTCTGACACGCGGTTGCCATTCGCCCCTGCAAATTGCCCTGCATCAGCTAGGCGCGGTCCTTGCTGGCGTTGTGCCTGTTCCAGGCCCACCTTGTTCGGCGTGCCCTGGAGACTGCATTTCTCATGCGGTACCCGCCAGACGCGCGGATGCATGGCATAGCGTACGTGTTTGGCCTCAGGTGGGTCTTGCAGTCGCCCCACGATGCATCCACTATGCATGCACATCACCGGGTCGGACAGCAGCTGTCATCATGGCAGGCGTGAAAAAAGTGGCTGTGCTGCTGATGCCCAGCACAAGCTGGAAAACTCACCGAGCCCCTCAAAACATTGTTGTCACGTCTTGTCTCTTGTGATTTGGCTTGCTCACCGCCCTCCCTTTTCTGCTGCCGCTCCACATACGCACCTATTTTCCCCAACAGTTATTATGTGGTTGCGCCCCTCTCTCTGCTGCCAGCCGAATGGATATGGTCGATCCCTGGGCTAATCCAGGCGACCTCTGTCGTCGGCATCAGCAGCAGCGGCGGCGGCCTGGCAGCCTGCACGACGGCGGCACGGGGGGCAGTCCAGCGCCTGTGGCATCAAGGGCCTGCAGCATCGGCGCTTGCGGCAGGGGTAAGCAAGCAGTTGTCGTGGCTCTTTCTTTGTGTTGATTGGCACTGTGTCGCGCTCGCAACACAGCCTGGCCCACCTGACCAGGGGTGCGTGTGCACACGCAGTCTTTCCTATGCACCCCACCCCCCCCCCGTAATCATGCTTACAGGGTGCCTCGGTGTTCATGTTCGGCAACACCCTGCAATTTGCATCCCATCGCGCACTGGCCGGCCTCTCAGGCGGCCAGCAGCGGCGCTCCGAAAAGACGGCGTATCGCATACCGCGTGGTGAGCGCCAACTGCGCAACACTCCCCGCCCGCTGAACCTGCTTGCCCTCGCTCTTGTTGGTGTGCCACGGGTGCTTTTGCACGCAACCTGGGCGACCGCCGCACCTCGGCGAGCCTGCTGTGCGCATGTTTGCACCTGTGTGTGACGCAACCAACTTTCGCAGGGACCCTTTTTGAGTGGGTGTCATGCCCGCACTACCTGGCTGAGATCATCATCTACTGGGGCCTCGCGCTGGTGACTGGCTGCAGCATCAACACACTGCTCATGCTTGCCTGGGTGGTGAGTGCAGCCCGGCGCGTGGTCCCCTCAGGACCTGGCTGCGGGGCCCTGTGCTGGCGAGCGAGACGATGCTGCAGGGTTTTTAGGGGGCGCGGCACACATTTGTGGAACCACATTTACTTGGGTGCAGCGCCACGCATGCACAGCACGCACAGCACGCACAGCGCACTGACCCCCTTACCCACGTTGCTGTGCAGGCGGTCAATCTTGTGCTGGCAGCGGGCGCTACGCAGGCTTGGTACCACTCACGGTTCAAAGCCTACCCTGCCAAGCGGCGCGCTCTCATACCATTCGTGTATTGATGCGGTGAACCAGGCTAGGCAGGAGCGCGCCAATGACTCGCTAATAGTACCCGCTCTCTCTGTATGACATCAGCGGTGCGCAGGCTGAGCAAGCCAGTGTTGGAGCACATGTGCATGCTGTAGTAAATGCTGAAAGAGAGGCTGGCCGTGAGCACACATGGGCAAACCCCGCGCAGCTGGCACCGAGCTCTCACCCAGGAAGGGGAATTCCTTGAAAGGGTCACGGGGCACAGGACCCGGGGTGGCGCCGCAGCAGACATCCTGCCGCAGTGTGAACACGAAAATGCTTTAGCTTACGGTAGAGCTTGTATTCAAGCTCGTTCTCGCGGTTTTTCTGCCTCTGCCCAGTTAGATCGCAAGTCTTACAGGTTCGTGAAAACGCAGCAGCATGGACCTTATCGTCCGCAGGCTGGAGAGCGGTGATTACGACAAAGGTACCATGCAACTGGAACCAGCAACCGCATCTTAGGGTGCAGTCCATGTTGCCCGCCGCTCACGCGCTCTGTTCACGCTGGTTCTGAAATGCGCCGCCTGCCTTGCCGATCCGACAGGCTTCCTGGGTCTCCTGGCCCAGCTGACCACAGTCGGGGACATCGACAAGACTGCATTTGAACGTAAGCACATGGGTGTGCATGGGAGAGCCTGTCTCGGAGTACGGTGGCCCCTGCGGGGTGGGCCCTCGGCAGCGCCGTTGCGGCTTGCGCAGTCCTTCCTGGCTGTCAAACCTGAGTGGTGCGCAACGTCGTGGCAATCCCTGGACTTGCAGAGCGGCTCAAGGAGGTGTCAAGCGATGACTACCACATTGCCGTGGTGGAGGGTGCGGGGGTGGCGCAAACAGGGAGCTTGCCTAGAAATGCGTGCGCGCTCCCAAGGCCCGAGCAGCGCACAACGCGCGACACTCTGCAGCGTCACCAGCACCGTCTCGCGTGCAGCGCATGCAATGGAATGCCATTGCCCTTCTCGCGCAGACAAGGCCAGCGGCAAGCTGGTGGGCACGGCGGCGCTGATTGTGGAGCGCAAGTTCATCCATGCCTGCGGCAAGGCGAGCGGCGTGGCTGCACTCCGCATGCGGCCGGCGGCAGCAGAGCCCATGCGGGTCATCATGCTCATGGCTCTAATGCATCAGGATTGTGCAAGCCTGTCCTCCCTCTCAAGGTTGTCTGCCCCTGCTAAGCATGCGTGCATGTGGCCGCGCGCACATGCACATGCATGTGCAAACACACACACACACACACACACACACACACACACACAGAAAGAGCATCCATTCAACCAAACACATATTCCATTTACAAATGCCCTCAAGCTCCCCCACAGCATGCACACAGACACGCATGAGCACACCCTCTCACAGGCGTGTCTGTTGATTCCCCCGCCACCGCCCTTATCACGCATTGATCCCAGGTCGGCCACATCGAGGACGTCGTAGTGGACCAGGCGGCACGCGGCCAGCGGCTCGGCCAGAGGTGCAAGCGGGGAGGCCCGGGGCCCGCCGCCAGGATGTGTGGGGCCTCCTGGCTCCCCATCGCTGCTGAAACGCCCTCGCCTAGCCGCGCCTGCCATCACGATCGTGATGCGCCGCGCGGCCCGCCCGGGGCCCGCTGCCCGGCGACCCGTCCTCAGCGGCCGCCGCCGCGGCTGCTTCAGCCGAAGGCAGCAGACGCCTTCCTCCCTTTGAACCCTTCCTCAGCCCACCCCTCCCCCATCATCCGTGGCCCAGGCTGATTGAAGAGCTGGTGCGTGTGTGCAAGGAGAAGGGGTGCTACAAGGTGATACTGGACTGCGCGGACCACAACGTGGCCTTCTACGAAAAGTGCGGGCTGACACGCAAGGAGATCCAGATGGTGCGCGGGGCACGAGTGCGAGATTGGCCTTGTGGAAGTTGGTGTGCGTGCATGCTTGCTTGTGTGTGTGTGTATGTGCACCTGTGCGCGTGCATATGCGTGCGTGTTCGCATGAATGCATGTGTGTTTGTATGTGTGTATGTGTGTGTGTGTGTGTGTTTGTGCGTGCGTGTGTGTGTCTATGTGTGTGTCTATGTGTGTGTGTCACACTGGCTGAGTTTCGCTGCCGGGACTGGTGACAGCAAACTGCTTGGCTGCGAGTGGCGCAAGCTTGTACTCGAGATGTGTGGCTTGGTCGACTGTCAACCATACAAATACTTCCCTTGGTGCGCGTCCACCCCACCTCTGCCGCACGCAGGTGCGCTACCTCGATCGATGACGCTGTTGCGTGTGTCAGAAACCATAAATGGCTCCGCAGCTATCCTGAGCGTCTTGAAGTACAACTCCAGCGCGTGTGGCATGTTTTACCTTCTTTTGTGTGGACTGGTGGCAACTGTGATGTCCTGTAATGTTGGTCGAGGCTTGAGCGCACTTGCCGCCCCCTTGCACGGGCCGCCCTGATTTGGGACTCATGTCACAGACAGGCACGACGAGGCCTAGCAAGTGTGGATGGAACGTGCAATGTGCTCCACATGCTCTTCTAGTGTTGGGTGAAGCTCGTGTACCGCATCGCAAGGATTTGCCAGATGCAGCAGTATCGGTGCACTCATCATCACAGGGGCACAGCTTGCTTGGTCAGCATTTGGGATCGGTTGACCAGGTTGAGTCTTGCGCACGACCGTGTCATTCAAATTGATCCGGAACAAATGAATCCTGGCCCAATTGATCCGGAACAAATGAATCCTGGCCCATTCAATTATAAGTGTATTTCCCGGATCGGACCGTCGAACACTTGCCGGGCGTGTCCGTGCGACCTGCCGCGCAAAACTTGAAGCGGCACGCGTGGCTTTCAGAGATACATGCTAGCTTGTCTCCTAGGTACCTAATCCGCTCGGACGTACAGCTCACCCGCGTTTTGGCCAACTTGGACCGAGTCGTCTGCCTGCGCGAACACCAGCGGCATGGAGGCACAGGGAACCCGCGATACGGATAACATGGAATACACGATGCCCCAGGCGGTGCGATTAGCCGAGCACAGGCGGGCCCGGGTGACGATCCGCAACTCGAACCCGCGCGCGCGCGCGCACTTGCGCGCGTGCGGCGCTCACTTGACTGGTCTCCCGCGCCTCAACACCCCCACAATCCAGGTGGATCAGCAAATATGCATGGATGCAGAGTTTGAGGAGGCGGTGGAAGGGCCTAGCCAACCTGGCGATCTGCAACTGGCAGCAGCAAGGGCGGCTGCTGGCAACACCAGCAGCCCCAGCATGCAGTCGGGTGGCAGCACCGGCGGCCACAGCAGCGGCGCAAGGCGCACGAGCGACACGCCAGCAAGCCCGATGAACATGTACGAGCCAATCATGGGCGAAAAGAAAAGCGGACTCAGGTGTGTGGGCACCCACGTCCGCATGCGTAGTTGATCCCACTGGATGGGGGGCGCACACAATCAAACAATATTTGCACCATGCAGTGGCCAACAACATCCCTCGCGCTGAGCGTCGGCACCAAATTGCTGCATCCACGGTCCTCAACACCGCAGGGGCGTCTTTTGGGACGCCAAGACCCTCCGATGGCGCTCCCAGATCGGCTTCCGCACCCGCAAGGTGCGTTTGCTGCCCCAAGCTTTTCATTCCTTACGGCAACATCAGCAGCTGGCAAGCAAAGTTCAGAGCAACTGCGCACTCAACTTGACATTTGCGCGCAGGTTAATGGCATTCATTGCCACGACACGTGCTTGTGGGTGCTCCCCGTGCATCCGTCCGCCCACCTGTCGCCCATTGACCGGACATCCACTCCCACTGACACACACACGCACACATAAACTTTTCAACGCACATTTAACACACACACACACACACACACAAGGTGTTCAACGGCTACTTTGACACTGTGGAGGAGGCCGGCCGCGCATACGACATGAAGTACTTTGAGCTGCACGGCGACGACGCACGTGAGGTCGAGGTCACGTCAGCGCCTGGCCCGATACAACCATCACGCTTTTGCTGTCCGCCTTAGACATGCGTGTGGCATCATGACTGCCGGCATGCTGCTTTGTCTGCTGCTCAGCAACGCCACGCGGGAAAACGCACGGCCCCTCTCACAGCATAGCAGCTGCCCACTCGCTCAACACACTCCCTCGGCCCGCCATCTGTGGCGCAGGGGCGGCCGCAGGCAAGACCAACTTTCCTGTTGAGGACTACTGCCCCGACCTGCACACCGCCGCCGGCCGCCCCGTCCCCCCAGAGGTCAGCGCGCGCGCCGCAGAGATTTGCGCCGCGCGTGCGCGCCGCGAGGCCGACGCGGCGGCGGCCGTCGCCGCTGCGGCGGCGGGCGGGGCGTCCGATGAGGAGGGCGAGCAGGGCGGGGAGCCCCAGCAGGAGTCGCTTGGGGCGGAAGCAATGGAAGCTTCGGAGCAGCTGGCGGTCCGCAGGAGCAAGCGGCGCGCGGCGCAGTCGAACCTGCTGGTGCATCTGGGGGAAGACTTTGTTTACGACGGCCCCGACAGCAGCGGCGACATGCAGGATGAGCCTGGCAGCGGCAGCAAGGGCAGGCCTGCCCCGTGCGGTGCGGGCCCAGACGGCGGGCTGAGCATCGACGACTTTCCCAACGGCGGCAGCAGCGGCGCGGGCGAGTGGGCCGGCGGCCAGGCGCGCCTTGAGAGCGGAGACCTCACGGCGCTGCAGGCGCTGGCGCAGCTCAGCGGCGACGCCGTGCTGATGGGCGACGCGCGCCTGGCCGCCGCCGCGCGGCCCGCGCGGGCG